TAAATACTTAGATAGTTCTTTTTTGTAAATGCATACATAATAAGAATATAAATAATAATAATAAATAACCCTGAACAATTAACACAGCGCCATCTAGTCTCTAGCACATCTTGTGTTATGCGTACTAGTACCCACAACACAAGATGTGCTTACCGTGGCTTATAACTGACATAAATACTTAGATACTTTTTTTTTAAATACATAATATACATAGAAAACACTAATAATAATGTCGCAGGACGATTCACACAGCGCCATCTAGTCCCTAGTTAGGCATGCGTGTGTTATGGGTACTAAACAGCTGACATAAAAAAAAAACATTGACGAGTACTTTATGTATGATCCTAAATTTTTATAACTGTTTGTAATTGTACCTGACATGAGTATATAGGATATATATATTTTGAAACTATTAAATATGATAATGAGAATTAAAAACTTTCATCGTGTAAAATTAAATAAAATCAAAATTAAAAATAAAATAAAATACTACTAATTTGATCACGTGACCGCGCAGTTTATATGAAGTTTTTAAAAAATATTTGACAAGTTGTTCACTTTCATAAATGTATAATTATAAATACTTAATTGTTTTTCAAGTCAATAACGATATGACTACTTGCAATCTTGAAGTACGGAACCCAATTATTAACTAGCCGATACAGACTTACCTAAATTTTCATATATTGTGGGAAAAATAAAAATTATTTTGTGTGAAAGTGAATAATTACCCTATTATTCTCATAACACAACTACTATAAATCATTCACAAAAAAAATAGCTGTATACCACTACAACTTTGCCTACTATAGTTAAAAATCGAATTAAAAAAATATGTATTTATGTAGAACATTATCGGGATGTCATGTCATACCATCTCCACCAGATAGCTACCTCGGTAGAGAAGAATTGGCAAGAAACACAACTGGTAAATTTAATATTAATTATATAATTTAATTTTAAAGGGTTAATAGCAGTGATTTTCTTCTAATTAACTATACTGTGCGAAACCATCTGGGTTAACAATGAATTCACCAGGAATCTAATATGAGCAGACCTCATGCTGATCTTATTGTCATTTTTATGCACCGTTATACATAAATCTGCGTTGCTGTGGCTAAGGTTTTTTATTGCGACTATAAATTGAGATGTACCTATCCTATCTTTCAAGTTGGATCAAATTGCACACAATGTGTAAATCAAATTTGCAATCGGTTTAGTAGTTTAGGAGTCCATCGCGGACAAACAACGTAACGCGTAATTTTTATATATATAAAGCTAAACAAAAATAATCACTATTTTCATGTATTTTTTTTATTTAATAGACAATACACACTTGACAATACAAACTACACTCCCCCAAGCCGACTGGTCCTCGTGGGGGAAAATGACCACAACCCTCTAAAGAAAAAAATAAAAAGAAATAATACTTGCATGAAAGAAAAATTAAATGATTTTCAAATAGCAACTATCAACTGTTCTCAGAAATTATTAGAATTAGAACTGGCAATAGAAGAAATAAAATGGGATATTATTGGCATCAGTGAAATGAGAAGATTTGGAGAAAGTATAAAGGAATACAAAAAATATATATTATACTATAAAGGGGAGACGCCTGGACTGTATGGAGTGGGTTTCATGATTAAAAGAAATCTTATAAATTATATAGAAGAACTCAAAGGAATCTCGGAACGCATTACAATGCTTAATATAAAACTACCTGTAAATGGAGTAAAGGAAGAAGAGTGGTCCATTATACAGGCGTATGCACCAACGGAATCAGAAGACATAATAAAAATCGAGAAATTCTATGAAGACCTCCAAAATACTATTGAGGACGCACATAAAAACATCATTGTGATGGGCGATTTTAATGGACAAATTGGAACACAAAATAACGGAGAGGAATATACTGTAGGAAAGTATAATAATAAAGAAGCCAAAATGGCACAAGATTAGTAAACTTCGCATTAGAAAACAGATTAAGTATCCTTAATAGCTTCTATAAAAAGAAAACATCGAAAAAATGGACATGGATCTCACCCAATGGACTGTATAAGAATGAGATAGACTATATTATGTCAAACAATAGAAAAGTATTTAAAGACATATCTATCATAAACAACTTGAATTTTAATACGGACCATAGAATGATTCGGGTGACACTGACAACAACACGCCTCAAGCAATCAAGAAAATTTCATAATAAATATTCAGCTATTCAATACAGAGATGACCCAGAAATACTGCTTCAAAACCTCCAAACTTCAATAGACGACAGTGAACTTATAGAAAAAGAAGATATATCAACACAAGAAAAATATAACAACTTAATAAATCAAATAAAATCTGTAACCAGAAAAACAAACACAAAACATAAAATTGTTAAAAGTCTCGTAAGCAAATTGCAATGTATGAGGACCTCTTATCAAAAACGAAAAGTAAAGATAATAAGAATATCATATATAAGTAAAAAGATTAACGAACAGCTTAGGAAAGACAGAAAAAAAAACGTTGAAAATTTGTATCAGGAGGAATAAAAAAGGCATTGAAAACTAAATAATAGAAAAAAATGGATACCAAATATGAAAAATAAAGACGGTAAAAATACAGGTAAAAGAGAGGAGATCATAAAAATTTGATCACTACCGAAATTTATATCAAAGTTTCTCACGCAATGTACAAATGAGTACAATATGTACATTACCAGATTACGACGCAATCCTTGACATAGTAAAAGAAGAGACAGTAAAATCTATTAGAACACAAAAGTTTGATAAAGCACCGGGATCTGATCTTGTTACAAATGAATTACTAAAAATTACATTACCAATAATTGCTCCAAAGCTTACAAATATATTTAACGAAATTATTAAGACAGAAAAGATACCTGCGGATTGGACGAAATCTACAATTATATTACTACATAAAAAAGGTGACAAAGGAGATATAGCAAATTATAGACCTATTAGCTTAATGTCTAATATTTACAAGATATTTTCAAAAATTATATTATCTCGAATAACTAATACATTGGATGAAAATCAGCCTATTGAGCAAGCCGGATTTCGTAGAAATTTTTCAACTATAGACCACATTCATACCCTCAGACAAATACTACAGAAATATAAAGAATATAATAAGACTTACTACCTAGGGTTTGTTGATTTTAACAAGGCATTCGATACACTAGAACATGATTTTATCTGGGAAGCATTGAGAACACAAGGTGTACAAGCAAAATATATACGAATTATTAAAAATATATACACAAAGAGCACTGCCCAAGTGAAATTAGAATTAACAGGTGAAGAATTTACTATTAAAAGGGGTGTACGACAAGGCGATCCTATCTCACCTAAATTATTTTCGGCCGTAATAGAAATGATATTCAGAAACTTGGAATGGACAAACAAGGGACTAAAAATAAATGGGAAGTATCTCAGCCACCTGCGTTTTGCAGATGACTTAATTCTATTTTCAGACAATCCGGAAAGCTTACAAACAATGCTACAACAGCTAGCGGAGGAAAGTGATAAGGCGGGTCTATCAATGAATTTAACAAAAACAAAAATAATGTCAAATTCCCCACAAAGAAACATCATAAAAATAAATAATGAGAGGATTGAATATGTATCTGAATATGTGTACTTAGGACAGCTAATATCTACTGAAGAATGTATGCAAAAAGAAATTGAAAGAAGAATAGCAAATAGTTGGAAACGTTATTGGTCACTGAGTGAAATCATGAAGAACAAAGAAATGCCTATGAAGGCAAAGAGAAAAGTATATAACATGTGTATTCTACCATGTTTACTATACGGATGTCAAACCTGGGCGTTGACAGAAAAATTATCAAATAAGATAAACATTTGTCAAAATAATATGGAGAGAAGTATAATAGGGGTAAAAAGAAAAGACCGCGTAAAACTAAAAACAATTAAACATAAAACAAATTTCAAAAATGCATATAAAACTTATAAACAGCTAAAGTGGAGATGGATAGGTCACATGATAAGAGAAAAGGAAGAGAAATGGACAAGAATAACAACAGAATGGTATCCACGAGACGGTAAAAGAAATAGAGGTAGACAGAAAGTAAGATGGGAAGACGATATATATATATGGACTCGTAAAGCAAAGGACAGGACAGAATGGAAATCTTTAGAGGAGGCCTATGTCGGAAGACAAGCTGTACCGTTTATCGATAATATTATTAAGCAAATGTAAAAATATTAGTATAGCAATAAAGGCTTTTTTATTTATTTTATTTTTACACACTTTTACTGTATTTGATTTTATTTAGCAGTTCAGGAATTAGTGAATATCCAGAGACAATAGCTCTATGCTAACCCGTAACCCAATGTTTTTAAAAAAAAAAAGTGCACTTACATACTCTCATATAGTGCCCTCTACGGGTTATGAGTGTGAAACAAAGAATAATGCAAACCGAGTAGAACTACCGGTCATTACGCCTTAATTCATTAATTTTAAACTCATACGTCAATTCATTATTGCACATATTACGATAATTTTAAAGTTTAAATTACAATGGCGTACATTTTTACCAACTTTGCGCAAGCTAACTTCAATGTTCCAAAAGGGGTTGTCATAGAAACTGTAAGTACTGCGCGCGCATCACCCACACATATAAATAACACTTACTCACACTCCCCCATGATTCTCCCCATAACGTACGAGCGAGATAGCAACAGAGTACATTCATTTACAAAAACAATTTTTCATATCTGTTGACACTATCCTTGTAAATAGTTCTATTTTTAAATTAATTATTCATTTTTAAATGTGTTTTGTTGTGGCCAGTCTTCGTCGTTGCTTTTGAATTTTAAAATTAGAACACAAATATTCTGTTGTAAGTGCACGTTTCGTTTGTAACTTCTGTAATGAACTGTACATCGTATCGTCCCTACAAACACAAGTGCCTATGCAGTGCCCGTATACGATAACACTTACAAATGTGTGCGTGTTTTATACCACAGATTCTGCGCGATGGACCCCAGTATTCTCGCAGCCATGGACAAAGAGGCACTGAAAAAGCAGATCGAAAATATGAAGTACCAAGCGTCCATGGAACGCTGGCCGCTGTCTAAAAGCATTGCAGCGTGAGTAAAACATTCCATTCTTAAATTTAAAAAAGGAACGTGTAGTGAAACGTCATTCGTGAAGTGAATTAGGCCGTTTGCCCGGGAGTGGTTATTCCTGTGGAGTGCTATACAATTTTGGTGCTTTTTCTATGCGGATTGAGGTATATAATTGCATGTACAAACCGACCGAGATGGGTAGGCGTTTGTCGTCGTTTTTTGCTATATTACTTTTTGTGCGATTGCTAATCATTGTTTAAAAAAACACGCCCTATTTTGGTATCTTTCCAGTTCAATAATGTATTTTCCTGTTCAGATTAAACACTGGCCATAAATCCGATCGTAGATTACAAAAAAATATTTATTAAGCTATATAAATGTGTTACCATTACATTTTTAGGATAGAACCGTCAATAAAAGCCATTTCTGTTATTTTTAATTTCTTTTATACATAGATAGATATGCCAACCATGTTTTAATTTTTTTATATTGAGATTCTTTTTTAACTGCACCGTTTTTTTTTATTTTTACACAAATACATTATTTTTATAGTTAAAGTAAAACTATTGTACGCCTGTTTAACTAAATAGGTAATTAATTTATTTAAGAATATATAGGTACCGCTTAATCATTACAATATTTTCCTTATTATTCATGTTTTATGTCATTTGTGTTTATTAAATTCAAAGGATATTTAATTTATTAAGTATGTATGTATGTACCCATACACCAGTAAGAATACAATGGTTACTTATAACAAAGAAACTAACTAGTTAACTAAACTGATAATAATTATTCACAAGTATTTTTTAGTAGTAGATATCCTCGATGGTGTAGTGGTTTAGCACATTGCATTTCTTCTGAAGGTCACAGGTTGCATTCCTCGTACAAAAAATTGTATTCATAAGCATGATTGTTACCATATGGGTGTTATGTATATTAAAAAAATGTATTTAAGTATTTATATCAGTTGTCTAGTACCCATAAAACAATACTGCTTAGCTTGGGACTAGATGGCACTGTGTGAGATGTCCATTGTTATTAATTATTATTACTTACTAAAAAAACTGACTTAAATCGTTAACAAAGTTTAATGTAAAGTGTAAGATTTAGTTACATGTCTTATTTTGGTGTAAAAACCAAACTATGTAAGTACTGAACCGATTCTGTTAATATATGTATTGAACTAAACAAATAATGCTTTACTAAAAAAAAAATTTTAGAAACGGGTTGTAAAAGATACATTCAACCCCTTGTTTTGCCCTTATCCCATTATTTGTAGTCGGTACAGTATGTCATTCTCTTCCACTCCATCATCAACAGCACACTGCATCCCACTGCTGGACATAGGCCTCTCCCAAGACACGCCATGATACTCTTCTTTTATTCATATCATGTTTGATACAATCCATCTTTTTTAGTGCGTACCTACTCTCCCTTTCATATGATATAAAAAAAAAGTAACTGAATTATATTTTTTTGAAGTCGGTCAAGTAATACTGATAAGTCAGATATCAATTGTGATAATCCATTATCGTCCCACTACTTACTGTATGTGATATCGCTCCATATAAAGGGATTTAGACTTTTATAATCATGTCGGCCACGTGGCTTGGTATATATGTTTTTTTATTATAATTCTATTAGCCGCATTCAAGTATCTCTGCACATCTCAATGGTTGACTTGGAGAGAATGCTACAGCATTAAGTCCATCGTTTGTACCTTTTATAGTGGTCAATAAAGCAAATAAATAAATAATAATAATAATAATCTCAGGACAATTCACACAGCGCCATCTAGACCCACGTTAAGCTAGCTAAAGCTTGTGCTATGGGTACTAGACAACTGATACATATACATAGATTTTTTTTGTAAATACATACATATTATACATACAAAACACCCAGACCGATACAAACAATCATACTCATGAATACAATTGTTTGTGCCGTGCGAGGAATTGAACCCGCGACCATCGGTCGTAAAGCGGTGTACTAGACCGCTAGACCACCGAGGTCGTCAAAAAATAAATAAATAAATATGTATATATTAAATTCTGGAAAATAAGAAATTAATATATATAAATAGTTTCATATGCACTAAAACAAATTAAAAACCTAACAATAAAGTATAACCTTAAGAATAAGGTTTTTTGAAAAAATAATTTAAATGAATAAAAAAAAACATTAACAGCTTATCTTGTAAAAAATGGATGTACACTTGGAATACATTTTTTTTTATTTAACCGACGTATATTTGCAGTACATTGTAACATGGCATCTGTGGTTTAGCGGTTAGCTAACCGCCTTATTGATATCACATAATATATATATATACATATATATATCTTTATATATAAAAAGTACGTGTCACTTTGTTTATCCGTGACGGACTCCTAAACTACTGAACCGAATGCAAATTTGATTTGCACATTAAGATACTAGCTGTGCCCGCGGATTCACCTGCGTGAAGTTTATAGCCTATATATTATTCTGACATATAAGCTATATTTCTGTAAAGTTTCATCAAAATCCATTCAGTAGTTTTTGCGTGAAAGAGTAACACACATCCATCAATACTCACAAACTTTCGCGTTCTAATATTAAAAATAAGATTATAAATCCGAAAATGCGTCTGTCTGTCTGTCTGTTGCTGTTAAAGACGATATGACAGAACTCATCTTAATGTTTAATATGAAGACAGATTGTATTATGAGGAGAGACACGTGTTATCCTTAATCTAAAAAAACTAAATGTTTGTTAACATAGTTGTTACTCACGACATCGTCTGTCTTTTGTATTATATAAGAGCTGGCTCATCCTTCATACTCGAACGAACGAATGAACGAGTGCTGCTTGTAGGGACTGGTCTGCTCTTATCACTACGACTGATATAATCTTATTGTATATTTATATTTGACCAAAAAAAATTAGTGCTGGTTGATAGTTTGTATTCACACGTTTCGACTTGTAAATGTAAACTTACAAGGAGTATTTAAAAGAGCAACACACAAGTTTCTTGCTCGTTCTTCTTATCATGAGACTTTCCGAACGAGTAGTAGATAAAAAACAAATTGTTAGGACTATTCAAAAGTGCAACTTAATTTAAGTTTATTTGAATAAATAATTTTCTAGTCTATTCTATAGACGTAACGTAGAAGTAACGACGGCGTCGGTAGTCTAGTGGTTTAGCACACAGCCAAATTACCGAAGGTAGCGGGTTTAATTCCTTGCATAGTACAACCATATGTATTCATGGATATATGGTCTGGCGATTTTCTATACGTTATATATGTTTAAAAAATATTTTAAAATTCACTATAGGTATATCACTTACTTAGTACTAATAACACAAGCTCTGCTTAGCTAGAAACGAGATGACGCTATGTAAATTGTCCAGGAATATCATTTTACTATAAATGTAAAAAAAAATATCCATTAGTTACTTTTTCAGGACTAATAACTATGTAACGTAAAGACAGAACATGACGGACATACGGCTATTTTCTTTATATAAAAAAATGCAGACGAAATCACGGGTTACAGCTAGTTACTCATAAAACTTAAAAAAAAAATTCAAAAAATATTTATTCATGTAGGTTCATAACAAACACTTATGACAAGTCTAATTATAATCAATCTATATTCTATATACGAGATATACGAGATAGTGTAACAATTACACGATTACTTAGAGAACATCTTAATATAATAACTTATACATCCAGGAACAAATCTTAGATCCCCTCCGATCGATCTCCCGTCTAATTCAAACGGGGATCGAAATTACGATGGCCTGAGCCGAGGTTCGAAACCGTAGTGGTGCCCTCAGACTAAAGTCGTATCCGTCAGGCAGGAGATGGCCTTCAGCCGCTCCATAAGTCCTTCCGCGGGTTTGGCGTGCCATCTGCACTAGCCTTCTAACGTCCGGTGAAGCTGTAAAGGCCAGCTGCGGCCAACAGCATCAGAGTAGTCCGAAAAAAAAACCTATAATATATTTCACCACAGACACATAACTATTGAACTAAAAAAAATTACTTTTTAGTTGTTTTTTATTAAAACAATTAAGTATACTTACACTTATAAAGTAGACAAGGGTAAAAAATAATAAAAAAAATAAGACTATAATCTTAATCTTAATAAACGCGAAAATTTGTAAGTATTACTGTTTGTTACTCTTTCACGCAAAAACTACTGAACGAATTTTGATGACACCGCACTGTATATATGATATGTGTATCTTATGCATCAGAATAACATATAGGCTATAGTTTATTGTAATTTAACGCGGGTGCAACCACGGGAGCAGCTAGTATTATATAATTATGTTCCTATAGAAAAAAACTAACTAACTAAAGACATCCAGGTTACATATAACGGTTATAACATATCAAATCTGTTAAAAACCCTTCAAATTTCCCAGCTAGCAGTAATTATTTGTCATTACGACATCATATTTCGTCACTTACCGTAAAATATTCAATGAACTACGTCACTATAACGTCCGTAGATATGCTGTAAGGGTTAAATTATCTATAACTACCTACTCGCCCCAGCTGCTCCCGGCTATACATATAAAACTTCCTCTTGAATCACTCTATCTATTAAAAAAAATCGCTTCAAAGTCCGTTGCGTAGTTTTAAAGATTTAAGCATACATAGGGACGGACAGACAGCGACAGCAATTTTGTTTTATACTATGCAATGATATCTTTTTATGTAATTATAATGGTAACCTATCTGATAGTCTATATATATGAACAGCGCTACGGATATCACGTTATCATATGACTCTCAGTAACACTCATGCGTTGCCATTCCAGTAGACTAAAATATCATAGGTCTTATCCCTTTTTTTTCGGACTACTCTAATGCTGTTGGCCGCAGCTGGCCTTTACAGCTTCACCAGACGATAGGGGGCGAGTGCAGATGGCACTCCTAACCCGCGGAAGGACTTATGGAGCGGCTGAAAGCCAACTCCCGCCTGGCGGATACGACTTTAGTCTGAAACCACCACTAGGG